TGAAATGTCATCTGGTGCCATGGAACATCTACTGGACAGATGTAGAGTGTAATCTTGATGATGTTTGGCATTCTTCACTAGCTGGATCATCATTGAGTCAGTGGTTGGTGACCTCGTCCTGGTCAGATGAGCATTGCATTGACGGAAGTGAAATGTCATCTGGTGCCATGGAACATCTAGGAGATAGATAAATAGTTTCGTTATTTGCATTCTTCACTAGCTGCATCATCATTGTGTCAGTTGTTGGCGACCTCGTCCTGGTCAGATGAGCATTGCTGTCACGACAGTGAAATGTCATCTGGTGCCATGGAACGTCTAGGAGGTAGATGTACAGGGTAGTCGTTGGCATTCTTCACTAGCTGCATCATCATTGAGTCAGTTGTTGGTGACCTCGTCGTGGTCAGATGAGCATTGCTGTGACGAAAGTGAAATGTCATCTGGTCCCATGGAACATCTAGGAGACACATGAATAGTCTCCTGATGATTGGCATTCTTCACTAGCTGCATCATCATTCACTCAGTTGTTGGTGACCTCGTCCTGGTCAGATGAGCATTGCTGTGACGGAAGTGAAATGTCATCTGGTGCCGTGGAAGATCTAGGAGATAGATGTAGAGTGTAATGTTTGGCATTCTTCACTAGCTGGATCATCATTGAGTCAGTGGTTGGTGACCTCGTCCTGGTCAGATGAGCATTGCTGTGACGAAAGTGTAATGTCATCCGGTGCGATGGAATATCTGGGAGGTAGATGAATAGTCTCCTGATTGGCATTCTTCACTAGCTGCATCATCATTGAGTCAGTTGTTGGTGACCTCGTTCTGGTCAGATGAGCATTGCTGTGACGAAAGTGAAATATCATCTGGTGCCATGGAACATCTAGTGGACAGATGTAGAGTGTAATCTTTGGCATTCTTCACTAGCTGTATCGTCATTGAGCCAGTTGTTGGTGACCTCGTCCTGGTCAGATGAGCATTGCTATGACGAAAGTGAAACATCAGCTGGTGCCATGGAACATTTAGGGGTAGATGTAGAGTGTATTCTTTGGCATTCTTCACTAGCTGCATCATCATGGAGTCAGTTGTTGGTGACCTCGTTCTGGTCAGATGATCACTGCTGTGACGAAAGTGAAACATCATCTGGTGCCATGGAACGTCTAGGAGATAGATGTGCAGGGTAGTCGTTGGCATTCTTCACTAGCTGCATCATCATGGAGTCAGTTGTTGGTGACTTCGTCCTGGTCAAATGAGCATTGCTGTGACGGAAGTGAAATGTCATCTGGTGCCAGGGAACATCTAGGAGACACATGAATAGTCTCCTGATTGGCATTCTTCACTAGCTGCATCATCATGGAGTCAATTGTTGGTGACCTCGTTCTGGTCAGATGAGCATTGCTGTGACGGAAGTGAAATGTCATCTGGTGCCATGGAACACCTAGGAGATAGATGTAGAGTGTAATCTTGATGATTGGCATTCTTCACTAGCTGCATCATTATTGAGTCAGTTGTTGGTGACCTCGTGGTGGTCAGAGGAGCATTGCTATGACGAAAGTGAAATGTCATCTGGGGCCGTGGAACATCTGGCGGATAGATGAGTAGTACGATGGTGTTGATGGTTTGTGAATTGTGGTGGCGTTGATTGGATTGGTAGTTATGGTTTTATAGGCTTTAGTTTCGTTTTGAAGGGACTTGATTTGGTAGTGTTTGTGTAGACGAAGAATACGTGTTTTTGCCAAGGTTTTTGTTCGTTTGTCGTCGGACATTAGGTGTTTTTGCTGGAAATTGTGTTTTTTTCTGGGTGTTTTGTCTTTTTTTATTTCGAAATGTGCACTTCAATATTTACAGATCTATGACAGCTAGGAAAGTTCTGAAAATGCTAGAATAATCTCCCGACATTCGAAATTGATCAAGGGACAATTTTATGTCACCTAAATGAAGAAAGAAAAAGAAAGATAGTAAAACATCTGCGGAAACATTTCTCAGTCCACCAGTGATATGCTAAATATCAGTCTATCCGCTTTTCCTTTATGGATATGATAGTATGATTGAAAGTCTATTGTTGGATTTATTTTATTTTCAATACATCGTTCATTTATTGTATTTTCTTATTTCTTTCTTCGATACATACACCGGTGATGAGTCTGAATATTGTCCTTTTTCGGCTGAAAATATTGTTCTCTTTAGTATTATATTTAATTTAATAATCTGAAATGTTTTTTCTTTTTTCGGTCCACTGTAAAGAAAAAAGTGTGTATCTAAAAAGCACGGTTTATCATGCTTTCTTTTTGAAGCGGATTCAAAATGCTACTGTGAGGAGCACTTTCAGAACGTGTTCTTCCTTGGAATATTTTTAAAAGCATTCAAAAAAAGAAGCGTGAAAAATAGGAACCGTTCTTTTCAGGTGCACTTTAAAAACTATTGTTTCTCAGCACATTTTTGTAAGTACCTTTACTTAAAGCGTTTTTCTAATCGAAATACTGCGTAGCATTTTCAAAATGTATTATTCCTCGGCGAAAGAGCCTACGTATTTCTCGAATCTTTGCTACTTCAGAGCTGAGGTATAGCTTACTCATTTTTTTATCTGTTGTGCTATAACTGCGAGTTTTGGTCGTTTTCATTATTATAGCATTGAGAGCAACAGATAGTTTTTTTGGCGTAGAATTCAAGAAATAATGAGAGCACCTGATGCGATAATCTCCACGCCAAAAAGAATATCTTTTGTTCTTAACGCTATAATAATGAAAACGACCTGAATAATGGAACGACTAAACAGCTTTAGAAGAAGCAAAGGAAAATAATGCCTCAGCGAAGGAGCAAATGAAAAAGCTGACGGATGTTTTCTTTAATCACAGATCGGTTTCAGTTTAAGAGGCAGTAATAAGAGCCACAGGTATGACTTTAAAACAGTGTAGTCGAGCTGTTGTTTATATTCCAGCACATTCGAGTTGTGTTAGATTTTTGAAACCTAAAACACAGGAAAATTTACCTGAGGATTTCACTGGCATTGACTACTTAAACATTGTTGACAAATATTTCGATCGCCCAAACGGACAAGAGTTTAACATTTGCTTAGCTGACTTTTGTGTCTTGCACCACATTGATTCAAACCCATGCAATAGAGTACATAGCAAACGTTTACAACGCTTATCGTTCGTAGTAACAGACGAGAGAACAGTGCAATAATACGATTTATGCGATTTAGTAAGGAGAGACAGTCGGGAGATTATTACAAGAATATATTAATATTGCTTTTATCAATTGATTCACTAGAAGATTTAAAAATGGGAAATTCGTATCAGCAGTTTTATGAAATTTGGGTTTTTCTGGATGTTGCTGTTAATACAATTGAAAGAGTTAAACCTGCTGTTGATGAGAATACGGCAAAGTATGAGATATACAATGCAGACTTAGAGTCAATGGAAGATACATTTCAAAAAGTAGCAGAGGCGAGTGAGATTGAAGAATGGGCGTTAATGGTACATAGAAAACATCGTGCGGTTGAACAATTACGCAAATCAAGAAATGAGGAAAATGCTGATCTTAATACCATGTTTCCGAATAAAGTTGTGAAACCTTCAACGAATTTAGATCACATCAAACAAGTTATTGTTCAGGACAACGTTTGAATTTACTGAGAACAATGAATGAGCAACAGCAACATGTATTCTACTATGCTCGCAACTGGTGTCTTCGTAAACAGTAAAATAAACTGATTTATCATGCAGTAACAACTGATTCTCAAACATCATTCCACTGCAGACATAACACACAAAATCTGGTCCTTCCTTTGAAATAGTTTGGAACTTCTCATACTGTCTGACATAGAAAAGGTTATTTAAGTAAGGTTCTTAAATTGCCTGTAGAAGTTTTATACAATATTAATATCTCTCTTTAAATTTCTCCATTTACAAACAGCATTTATCCTGGAGAAAGCATTCGTTTACTTAAATGTGTTTTCGATGTCTTCTTGTGAACAACTCATATAAGACCATTTCCTTATCTATTCTGATCAGATGAATTAGGTGAATCTTATTTTATACACGATTAAGATTAAAACTGTACCTTGTTGGTCGATTTAACTCAAATTGTAAATCTTGTAAAATTTTCCTTTCCATCTGTTTCAAATCAGTTGGTTTATATGCATTATCTGTTAAGAAGGTCAAATCGTCAATTGCTGGATGTTGTGTTTCTTCTAATTGTAATTTTGTATATAAGGTTCTATAAGAACATCGAACTTGCAGAGAAAAATGATTAAATACGATCGAACAGGCTTTTTGGACCAATGCTCAGAAATGATTAAAAATTTCAGCATATGGTAGTCTACAATCAACTTTTAAGGCCCAGAAATATTAAAAACTAGATAACGAATGGTTTTTGATCAGTTTCGGTCGTTATCTTCTCAGAAATATATAGAGCCATTTCCTTGCAGGAACCGTCTCCTGTCCTTTGTGCAAGGGGGAAAAAGCATACTTCTGTACTTCTGGTACTTCTCCGTACTTCTTGATACTTCTTCGTACTTCTTCGTACTTTTTTGTACTTCTCCGTACTTCTGAAGTACGAAGTACGAAAAACGAAATCCCGTATTTCGTACTTCGTACTTCAGAAGTACGGAGAAGTACAAAAAAGTACGAAGAAGTACGAAGAAGTATCAAGAAGTACGGAGAAGTACCAGAAATACAGAAGTATGCTTTTTCCCCCTTGCCTTTGTGACACGTCGACATCTACGTTTTGGCCCTTAATGTTAAGATAACTCTTGGAAAACTCAATATTTCGACCTCAAAGTTTTGCTGTCAATTGTCTAAGGTCAGATACACATTCTATGAAAATTTCATCGGCATCCGACACATCTGAAATAATTTGCCTCAAATGAGTTTTTTCAAGATCAGTTTATCATTATGGCAGTTGGTGAAGTTTTCTTTGCTGTTACTTGTCCAGGGTAAAAATTCTAATGGTTATTCATGAATAATATCGTAAAATTAACGCTGATATTCAGTCTATTTTCCCTAATGCTTGCTTGTTTCTACCATACTACAGACAATATTCACATATCAACTTTTTTACAAAATCGACCACAACGTGAAAATGTAGAACTAAAACAAAATAAATTTAAAATCATTCATATGAGCACAGAACCTGCATATTTACTAGCAACATATGACGGATCAAAACCTTATGCCGATGACGATCATGCTCAACAAGCAGTTGTTACTGGTTTAAAATTAGCAGATGTTTGTAAAACAAATTCAGAGACAATTGTGGTCGATGTTGGTGCTTTTTTAGGTATGTACGTGCCTCTTTAAACGTATCATAAATGAAAAGCTGAATGTTCTGCAATCTTTTAACTGGATCAAGTTCTTCGTTATTCCAGTATAATATTTAATTCATTTCTTTTTTAAATAGGAGAATTTGGATTATACTTCGCTGATTGTGGCTGTCAGGTTTATATGTTCGAAGTTCAACCAGATATACTAGAGTGTATCACCGAATCAATTCATGCCAATACTTTCCAATCACGAATTAAGCTTTATTCAAACGCCGTCCACGATCAAGCTGGTCAAATACTTACCTTCAATTCTGTTGGTGGTTTAACATCACAAACAACTGGAGGCTCTTTTAATACAACAACCGTAAAACTTGATGATGTATTTTCAAACTTGAGCATATTTTTGATTAAAATAGACGTCGAAGGATTCGAATATAATGTGTTAAAATCCGGTGAACAATTATTTCACGAAAACCGTATTAAACATGTTAAGGTGCTCGTAATTCAAACTTCGAGTAAAATTTGTTTTTGACTTAATCATACATATTCTGATTCGTCTTGTCGAGCTGATCACGAATATCACCTTTTGACTTCTTTTCAACCGAATCTTCATGGAGAAAAACTCCGATTACGGAGAAGGTCGCAAAAGCCCAAAAAGTTTTTGTTTTCAGGAAAAACACCATAACTTTTTTCGCTTTAGTCGTGTAACTCTGGGGCTAATATTTTTAGATTCCTTATGAAAAGCTGGTTCTAGGAATGATGTTCGCAAGTCCTTAAATCCAAAAGCCATATTCTCGCGTAGGCCAAAATATGTTTGAGTCCACACCAAATTTTGCAGACCTAACACAGGTTTGTGTAGAGAGGGTAGACCAAATATTTGCACCTTGTCAGAACCGCTAGAAGTCCAGCTCCAAAGTTACGAAGAGAATTTTTTGATTTGTTATGGACATACAGCTGTTATACAAACAGCCCAAAAGATCGATTTGAGACCTATATGAAAAACGTGTCTAAGAGAGTGAAAACGAGCAGGCAAAAATTGAACAAATATACCGGTTTGTAGAATATTATTTGCTCTACAAGATATGATAGCTTTAGCTTTTCAAGTTCGAAACTATTCTTATTAATCTGTATTAATCAAAGAAAAACCGTGATGTTGTAATAAAAAACGGTCGAAAGCGTTACAACATGTCAAAAATCTTCTATACACCATTTTATAGAGAAGTGAATGGAGAATGTTTCGGTAATAAGATGAGCTCTGGGAGTGCAAAGGGAGAGAAAAAAAACTGAAAATGAAAATTACGTCATTCTTTTTGGTACACCCGTTATATGCAGTACGATGATGGTCTATTTTTACCATTGCTTATATATTTAATTGAGCAGATATGATGTTAAATTTCCTTTCAACTTCTTTTCTCTCTACAAATAACACTCTAAAGTTATTTGCTCATATACATCATCACTTTTCTCGTTCATTTTTAAATGTAACTATAACTCATTTAACTCAAAAAGAAAGTACTTAAAAGTTATTATTGTTGAAAAGTGTACACAACTTAATGATTTCTGCTCTCGTTTATTTATTAACACACATATAAAATGCTTCAGAAAATAAAATATATTGTAACTAAAAGAAAAGTAATTTTGATTAACTCTTTTCTTTACCTCAAGAGATGAGCAACCATACGCTTTACAAAAACAATGAATTCCTTGAGGTGTAAACAAGGCTCTATTTTATTGTTGTGTCACAATACCAAACATGGTTCTAAAGAAGACAGAGCAATTTTTTAACCTTCAAGCTACTGTTTTGGTATTGTAACTACGCAAATCAGATTTAACTTAAACATCTGAAATAATCAGTAATAGAGAAAGAAGATTCACTGGTATACGGTCTTGTGAATAGTAGAAAAAGAAAAGTTTTCTATCGATAGAACGCGGTCAGTTATGAATTAATTGTAATGAGTTTTTTTGTTTTCTGTTGAAAGCTTTCAGAAAAATAGAAAACATTCTACTCTATAACAAGAATGAGCTGTATATCTATCTAAATTTTTATATAAATCATATTCATTTCATAAAAACATTTGTCTGAACTCACTATCGTCTTGAATTCAAATGTATAAATATTACAAACTATTACAGACTAACAGATCAATTAAAGAAATTTCGATTAAATCGAAAAATTTTTTAAGATTATTCAATCGAAGTCTATTGAAAACTCAAATTCTCCGTGATCGATTATCTTGTTCACAACAAATTTTAACGTGACTAGACAAAAAGAACTGATAAAATTTAACTGTACTGTTGTTTATCGGAGAGGCAATTAAATATATATAAGGCAGGTTTGTGTGGTCTTATACTGACTCTAGTTGTGCAGGAATGAGTTCATACCATTGCAGAAACTGTCAAAATATTTTACACGCCTCTTATTTATACTAAAATGAAAACAAAATCTAAAAAGAAGAGTACGCAGAAAATTCTACATTATAGTAGCTCGTCATTGTATCTTACTTATTTTGCTAGACTCTGTATCATCGTCTAACTTGGTTCTGCAAAACAACATAATAAAACATTTTTGACAAGCATAAATGCAAAATTCATATTATATATATCCAAACATGAGATAGTCAAATCACTAAAGTAAATCAGAGTGATGAAGCATCCCTAGAGAACGTACTTGGGGCCAAGTACTTGTGCACGCACTTTGTCTGCGTAATGAAGCCGGTATTTGCCTTTTTTTTAGAAGTAAATTTACTTGTAAGTATTTCTCCTTACTTGCCAAGTACTTTTAGAAAGTACTTCTTAGCAATAAGGCAAGTATTTTGATCATTGACAAGTGCTTAGCAAGTAATCAAGTACTTGCATTAAGTACGTTCTCTAGGGTGTGGACCTTTCCAAGTAATTTTACGTGTCGAATACTTGAGAAGGTACTTGACAAGTAAAATGTAAGTACTTGGCTGACACAATGCAAGTAAAGTTACTTTAAAAGCTTCAATCAAGTACCTGTTCCATTTACTTTAATTTTGTATTTTATACATATTCTGGAGCTACACTCTACTTTTGTAGAGCAAATACATGCACGGCTATTAAGTTTGTTTAATTCAATAAGTTTAATTTATAAGTGTACAATGATTGATATTGTGGTGTTTATATACAAGCAGTCAATGCAAAAGAAAAGGTTGACTGACTTGTCCAAGTACTTGGCTAAAGAAAGTCAAGTAACGAGACTTGGCAGGTTCTTGCTCAAGTACTGGCCAAGTGCTTAACTTGTCACGTACTCTCCAAGTAATCAAGTACTTGTACCAAGTACATTCACTAGGGGCAAATATGAGCAGTTTGGTCATAAGTGGAAACCATTCTTCTGTGGAAATAGAGACCTACAATCCGACTCGATCCTAGAGTCGGCTCGGGTTCGGATTTTACCATTCTACACTGTAAACTATTTTCTTTGACTTTATTTTATGTTAAGGATTGATAATAGATTGACTTGAAGTTTTCCAAAGCAGACACAATTGTTAAGAATGCTACGTTAAATATATTCATATAAGCATCTCTGGACTGAAAACTTGTAAATCGATCCGAATGTATGTCCGAATAGGATTTTGGTTCAATTTTCTCAGATCAGTGTAGGTCTCTATCTGCAAGATGAATAAGTGCTATAAATATTAATAGAAACAATACTTAATCTGCGAACTCAATAAACGTGGTAACAAGAAGCCTGTCTACTTTAATGTTATGTATCCGTTTTAATATTTGGTTCTTATTCATAAAAATATATATGAAGGTCAATTAAACTTTTCTACTGTTTCGTTCAATGTGTCTCATCTCATTTTTGTTATTTCAAGTGTTTTTATAAGAATATAACTGACATATTTTATCTTTAAATATATATAGGTATTCAGTAGCTGTAAGATGGACAACAATAAAAACCTTTTTCTCTTTCTCTTATTCTTCGGTATTTTATTCAACTAAATAAAAATTGACTTAAAGTGTCTGCACTTGAAGAAAATTTTTTTTCCTCCCTTTATGTTTTGTTGTTGTAACTGTACTTCTTTACTTTACTATACTATAAGTCTTCGAACAAAATTGTCACTTTCCGTTTTTCTTTCATTTAGAGAAATAATTGATTTTTATGCAATTATTATTATAGTTATGTTGTAAAGATGCGTTTAAAATCTCTTCGTCGTCCGCGTCCAGTATTTGAAACGGAAGGTGCTTTCGTCACTGGAAATAAAATTGATTTAACAAATGACACCATAACAAAATATTGTTATCATAGAGATTCAATAAATAATGACAATTCAAGACAAAGTTCAAATCATTCACCTAAACATCTTGAACAAATTCGTCAAACTCTCTCTTCATGTGCACCAATACAATCATATCAAACAATTGAAGCGGCGTATCTTGAACATGGAATAAAAATTCATATTTTAAAAACAACAAATAACGTATCACCAACGATGAAAGTAAAAAAAGAAAATACACCATCCTTATTAACACCAAACGCCAAACCATTTATTCGTTATAAAACATTCTCTTATAACAAGCAAAATTATAATCCACAACAACGTTCAACAAGTGTATTACAATGTTCAAAAAATTATAATGATGGAGCAAAAATTGAAAGAAATCATATGCGACCATTTAGCGAATTACAAACTACCTCATCAACAATGACAGATGATTTTAATAAAAATCATGTTTTAAACGTTTCATATGCTGTCAATGAACAACAACAAATGAATCCGTTCAGTGTTCATTCATCATCTCTTATTGCTAGTGAAAATTCTGATACTGTCGAAGATACTGAAAGTACATTGACGGCTATTAGAACTCAATTATCCGTAAGAAAAAAAGAAAATGAACTAAAAAAGTCTCTAAATAATAAGATTAGATTTAATGAGGAGGTTGATCAATTATCGTCACGATCACCTCCTCAACAACAACAACAAGTTAAAGAAGAAGATCCAGATTTTATTTACATGTGTAATCTATTGAAGAAAAACACAGGAGAAACCTATACAAGTATGTATGAAAATTTCACTCACTATAAAAATGTTAAGTCGTAGAAATGAAAATTGAAAAATTAAAACTACTTCGAGTTAGATCTAGGATATGAGAAAGGGTAATGATTATCAATCCAATAATCTCAATTTTATACTTGGGAAACTACATAGTCTTAGAACAAATAATCTTTCTTATGCATAATGGTGACAATTACTAATAAAATTTCTCAGTCAATTCTTGTTAAACTTAGATTTTTGCCAACTACAGAGAAAAATTGTTTTCGGTCAATGGAGAAAAAAAAATGATGTTTTTCTTCATGTAATTTTTTTATACTAAAAAAAAGAGCATGTTAACCTTTGTTGACGGTTTCCTGTGACTGTAGTTCATTAATTTTTTTTTGTTTAAAGTGACTTTTCCCTCTAGCTAATTTTTTTTTTTCTATTTTTCAAAGAGAAAATATTTTTTCTGGAAAAATATCTTATAATTTCTCTTTTGCTTCTCTCCATCTACTCTATCAACGTATTTTTTTTATACTATCAAACAGTTTAACACTTTTTTTTCTATTTTTTTATTTTAATCATTTGTTAAATAAAAATATCTGGCAAATAATTAAACGTCTTTATTTTTATAGATACCATTCGTCGTCAGGCTGGTTTTCGTAATACATTTGCTGTACATCGTCGATCATCTCAAAATCTTCTTCTTGATAATGAATTGGATAACAAAAATCATTACAATAAACCGTTAACATCACGTAATCATATCGATATTGTTTCTCATCCATCATCCACAATTAAAAAATATTATAGATCTGATTATGATTACAATCAACAGCATCAAATGAATACAAATCAACAATACAAATCATCGGTAATATTTACACAAAAAAAAATTGAAAAAGATATTGTTAAACATGCATCACGAATACGAACAACACAATCGAAAGATTATTATTCATTAATTAATAGTGGTAATCGTTTATTATCAGCTTGTACAAATACAAATACAAATATCAACAGTATTAGTCAGAAGAATGTTAATCAAAATCAAAGTAATAAACACCGAACAACAACTTATCAACCACCATCATCCATCAGTCTTGTAAGTAAAATAGTCATCATAAGATAGATAAAAATATTAGTGTGCACATTTATTCCTAATGGAATACTTATTAGTGTATGAAAAACTATCTTTAGAAACATTCTATTACCACAAGTCCATCTCCATTCACAAATTGGTAAAAATTATTTTAAAAAAATTGTTTTTTGTTTTTGTGTTTTGGTTAAAATGACCAGTACTGACAATCAAGTACGAAAAACGATCAGATAAAATAATATAACACCAGTGTAGATTCATTTCATCAACTCTTTACTAACAAACACAGAGCACGTGCATATCTACTCTCTCACGTGTTGAATAAAAAATGTTTCATCACGATCTTCATCAATCTATTGAACTTGCACTCCTATACAATACCCGAGAAGATATAAATTTTTAATTTAACTAGTCATAAAAGACAACTAATCAGTGTGACTGAAGTCACTTTTTGACACTCGAACGGGTTAGAACTAAAAGCGAAAGCGTTTTATAATTAGTCCATTTACTCATTTTCCGCTTGAATTGATATGAATCCAAATTAGAAACATGTTGTTGTTCAATTTCATTTAAGAGTTAATATCTACGCTTAAGCATATTTTGATATTTCTACTTTGCGAGGCGTATAACTGTTGTTGAACTTATTCACTACTTTTGCATGATCAATCTTTTCTGCAATTTTAGTAATTCTTAGTGATAATGTTTGATGATTAGTTGTTTTTGTAAGTCTAAAACTATTAAATTCATTCTATCTATGATCTTGCCAATATGTATATGATTATGGTGTCTGTAAGTACGATATATGACAGTTTGAGTTTATCATTTTAAATATTAGTCGAAGTTTCCATTTATAATAATTGTCTACTTGACATATCATTAATTGAAAACGTTTTCAACGCAATTTATTAAATTGATGGAAAAGGTGAGATAGAAAAGTATCAACTACAGTATTTTGCTTGATGCACTTTAAGTTATAGCGTCAAGAATTGTGATTTTGTGCAACACTATGAAATTTTGCCACTTTTTTTTTATATAATATACATATATCTAACATCTGTTATTAAAACCTCGATGTTCTTATTGTTGTAGAAACCACTTCAAATTTTACTAAATACACCAGTTTCAACAGAATCATCCATTATAAATTTGAAGAATACTTCATTATCGAAGCAAAATAATGAATTACCAGAAATAACTGTATCATCGTTGAATCTAACGACTTATAAATCGCCTGTACGTAAGAAAAAAACTGTTCGTCGTAAAAAAACATCCAAATATACTCCAGAAGTTGATTTAACAACATCTTCATCTGACATTAGTAGTAATGATCTATTACTAAAAGTATCATCAACAACAACAACAACAACATCTTTTTTTGGTGATTCGTTGCCATTATCAAAGAAAGAATCAACACCAGTTGCTGATGTTGACCGTCAATCAAGTTCATTAGACAGTGGTTATGATCGATCAGATTCACAGAGTATTGTATCCGGTTTATCAACCATACAAAATACATTGTCAATACGCTCATCGACACGTCTAACAAATTCGACTTTATGTGTACGTAGTAAAAAGAGAGTATCATTCGGTGATGAAACGATTACCTATCCATAACGCAGAAAGAACCTATACGTCTTTTTAAAAAATAGGGGAGGAAATATGTATTAATGACGAGCACTTGAAGAAATAAATTCTATTTTATCTGTCTCTTAATATAAAATTTTACTTAAAGTAAAAAAAAAAACATCATGCAGGTGTAGACAGGTGGGTAGAAACGATTTGCTAACTTTAATCAAGTCATCGGGCTGCAGACGAACCCTTTTAATATATTTGTTTACTTGTTTGTTTACATATAAAATGTGAAACTCGACTGGGTACAATTTTTATTTAGTTTTAATTTTACAACCCTGATCGGTTACTAGAGACTCAAACAGAACTCATTTCTAAAAGAAGATACCACAATCGGTTTCGACCTGTGCAGTGACCAATGATATGGTACCTCATTCTCATCGTGTGAAAGTTATTATTCTTGTTCAATGAAAACAAGGAATAATAACATCCTCATATGGTGTGGACTGAGTTGTGTTACTTGTCGTACCTTAATTCTGTCTTTCTCGAAGGAAACTACCTGACGAGATCTTTGAGAAAGGTCAAAACCGGTTGTAGCATCTTATTTTGCTTCTACCAGAAATGAGTTCTGTTTGAGTCTCTAGTAACTGATAAACGATTATAACACTAAATTTTTTTCGTTTACGTTCATAAATATTCTTACAAACCAATTAAGGACAATTAGAATTATTTTACATATCACTTTTGATTGCTGTTAGACATATCTTCATTTGTTATCACAACATAACATACATGAAACCTATTCAATGTCAAGTATGAATGAGAGGATGCTTCGATCAGCTGCATCCGAATTCTAATCTTATTTTTTTTAACACACTCACATACATAAACAAAATGAAGAAAAGAGAAAGTGTCTCATTTTCCTCTTACGTTGACAAGAGTGTTTTATTTGAATATTATTTGTATTTATTAATAGAAAAACATATAGAAAAATCGTAATATAATAGTTAAAAACAATGGACTTCTTATTCGCTTGAGTACTACTCATTTATCAGGTAGATATAAATTTGTAATATTATTATTTTTCTTTAAAAAAACCTAAGATTTTATTGTGATGCTTCCCCATTTATAGTAAGTAGATAATAAAAACTAATCGCACTCCTACTGATAAAATATGATAGTTGTTGAAATCGCAATAACAGATAGTTCATTTTTACTATTCATATTCTATTTCAATTCTTAATATATTGAGTTACTCTTCTTGTTTTTGATAATAAATTTATTTTTATCTGTTACGTTTTGATGTCGATGACGTCTTCTACAGACAAAAAAAAGGTAGAAGACGTCATCGACATCAAAACGTAACAGATAAAAATAAATTTATTATCAAAATCAGGAAGAGTAACTCAATATATTAATTCTTAATGGCCTTCCTAAACAGAAACTAATCTATTTCAATTCCTCTATCTCACTTCTCTCCTATAATCTGATCTCTTCAATTTTAATTGCCTTTGAAATTAGACTTCAAACAAATAGAGTGCAATAGACAATCTAATAATAGTACAATGAATATGAATTGTAATAATAAATATTATAGAGATTAAGAGTGAAGATTTAAATCATTATCACACAATATCATTAGTATTTTATAGAACTGGATATTTTTTTCAGGATAATTATTGTATGAATAAAAATAGCAAGACACTTTGCAGATTTTCTTTTAGAAAGACTTATATTATCTACTCAGGTTTTTAGCAGTAATACTTATTTTTTAGATTTATATTTGCCATGGAAAAAAACAACACATATAGTGCTTTTTCACATGCTAATTATGAAAATAATGATAAACAATAAATTCATGTTCACGTCAGAAATAATAGCAGTACGACTTGTTCACACTGACTATTTGGATGAAATTCCATTATGTTTTTTTCTACTTTTTTTTTACTACTTTTTACTTTGTTTTTTCTACTTTTACTACGAACTCTCTTTCTATATTTGCATGGAAATATGTCCAGAGTTTTCCTACGTCTTTATTTATCGAATGAGATTGGATGAACAGTCTGAAACATTTTTCCACTTGTCACAATCTTCAGATTTGCAAAAACCTAAAGAATACCAAACGAATGAATCTCGTTCAAATTTCTCATCTCTGTTTTTAACGAATCGTTTAGCGTAGTCATAGTTCATTCGAATGAGACACAAAGTGAGTTTAACCTTTTTATTTTGAGAACGAAAGAAAGGACATCCATACAAAGAGGTAATCTATATGACGTTTCTAGCTAAAACAAACAAAAAGAAAAACCTTTAGACAGATGTCTAGCGAGATCCAACATTGAGAAAGAGTGAATAACTTATTTATTCGTGTTGTTTGATTTCTTAAACTTCTACTCTCAACATATTTCAAGAAACTTACAAAGATTGTCTTAAAAAAACTGAATATAAGAGCTTGAATATCATATAGAAGCAAGTTTTTCAAATCTTGTCAGTTATTTCGATGTTTTATATCACACACCTGATTTCCTTGTAAGAACAGAAGAGTTGAACTTGAAAAACAAAAATATAGAATAAACAATTGTTAAAAATCTTCTGATTCGAATGTAAAATTTGTAAACAGTCATTCATATAGAAAGTTAACAATACTAGGGGTAAGTAAACAGTGACACATCAAAAGCAAAAAGTTTCACATCTTGTGCCGATTTGGCTAAATAAAATACTTAAAAATCATCGTTCTTCTAAGTGGATCGTCGATAGCTGACCTTGTATGAAGAAGGGTTAGATTTATCGCATGCGTATAGAACACTCGCATTTCAATAAAGCAACAACTGTCCCTATGACCAATTGAAAAAGACACTTATGAATACTGTAGAGAAGGGTATTTGTAAAATATTCTAACACTCACTAACAGTTTCGATGTATTTGTATTCCTATGCTTTTAAGTATCAGCTATTAATGGTCTAACATGTAACATAAAGAAGATTCTCCATTGACAGAGTAATTAAAAATAAGCGTGCTGTAGGTGTGAACTGATGACTTGAGTATCTCTGAATCTGCCTTGAGAATGACATTTGTATTTAGGACGTCGTTCTATTTTGTCGCATGATTTAATCTAAGAAACGCGACATAAAGAATATTTAACAGGATGATTGCTAACAAAAAATAATTATAGATGGGATAATAAAGTTATGTGTGAGTATATTCAATTCATTTCAAAATAGATCAGTTATGTTTAGAATGAAAATATCATTGATCCGATACCGTTGTCTGTTGAGTGTAATAGTTGGTCTTTTCTTTTTCAATGTTTCACTTCTCTATTAAAATTACAAAAAAATTAAAAATAGAACATAATTTACAAAGTCAAATGGACCTACGAATAAAGAAGTTGATATCAAAGTAAAATAAATAATTCATATAAAAGTTAATCAGCAGCACATTATATATCACATAGACGAGAGAACAACACATAGTGCACATGTTTACGATGAGATATAAACGAGAAATTTATTCAATTCACAAAAAATTATTTCATATCTTTGCATTCAAGAATAAAAATAGAAAGAATGAACAAAAAGATATATAAAAAGAAAGAACATATTATAATAGTAATCAAGATTAATAGATAAGTGCACAACATACAGAAAACATCCCGAAAGAAAAGGACAGCCATCAAAATAGAGAGATTATCACAAATAATACTTAGAATATTGTATAAAAAAAATAAAGATCTTTATAAAAACAAAAGGTAGTTGTAAAATTTTACCTCAGTTTTCCAACAACAACGGCAGTCAAATAATATCACAGATCATTATTCTTTTGATCAGAGCCGCAAATAAAGGAAGGATGTTGAAGGATGCGCACCTCCGCATAATTGAAAAAGCTGTATTTTATCTGTATTATCCCTCACATAAAAGTTTTTTTATCAATTTCACACTACCGCCGGGAGAAAAATTTTGTTTTACACCCCCCCTTATGTTCGACTTCAATTTGCGGCCCTGCTTTTGATAAGCGAAACGTCCAATAACACAAAATATTTTTTTTGTAATTGAATTGTAGATTTTGAAACCTCAATTCTCTGATACGCATCTAACATGAATAGGATGGATCGAGCTAGATAATGACTTGCATTAAAGAAGGCAACAGAAAGATGAGATTGTTGTATATTACAGTTAAGAAATGTAGTCGTTTGATATAGTACTTAGGTTTTTAGTCTCATCTCACTCAATTACAGTTAGCTGAGAGAATTGAAAAAGGAACTTCATGATGGTATTTGGCTTTGAGAGAACGAAGTGTAAGCTACAGATCTGAGGTTATAAAAATATATAAAACGCTCTTAAAATGTTATCGGTTTATCTCTGATTAGCCCATTTAAAATTGGTATTTGAGACATTAAATCTGGTTTCGAATATAAAAATATTGAGAATATAACCAACAATGAACCTATTGCAAATAATATCGTCAAATGAAAATCAAATAATAACATGGAAACAATACATGATATAATAATAGCGGACGATGTAGCAAAACCTTTCAAAATATTATCGGCATATTTAACAACTAATGCAACTATCAAACCGCCTGCACTCTGCACCGTGATAGCTAACCAAACCATCTTAGTGTAACCAAAAAGAAAGCCAAGTTTTTGCACATCTCGACCGTCTGAGATGATCATGGTTAATAGACCAAAAAAGATTCCAAATACACCCAATTGAATATTACGAATCCACACTGAAGTTTCTGAGCCTTTTAAAATTTTTTCAAAGTAAACACCAGCCAAACCACTTAATGTACCTAAAACAATATAGCATGCGTTAGTGATCAACTTGTTAACGATAGCTTTCCATTAGATCTATTACAAAAGAGTATTTTGTGCTACTATATCCATTATGAAATATAAGACGAATGTGGCGAATTTTGAAATAGGGCTATTTTTTTAATGATACTTGAAAAGTGAAAAATGTTAGATATTTGCAGCTCTTGCGAATCGAAAGAACAAACCTGAAAACGTCTTTACACAAGCCAAACGAGTTGAAAAAATGATTTTTCGAAATGAAGTTCCTTTGGAAACCTGATCTGATTCTTGAAAAATTACAATGGTATATAGTAGCATTTTACACAAGTAGATAAGATTTTTTCTTCTCTATTGGTCGTTAGAACTTTTGTTGCTTTGTTGTTTCCGTTCTTTAGTGCTCATCAGGTATGCATCAAACCCGAGTACTAGGACTCGGTTACTGCTCGATACTCGATTACTGGGACTCTGTACTACTCGTGAGGATCTACATTTTGAAATTAGTCTTTTTTTTGCAATATAGTCTTCTTCTAATCCGAAACAATGGCAGAAGATGCTTTTCAGCTCTTCTGAATTATGTTGAATTCAAAGAAATAATTTTTGTTATGCTTTTTTGTTGTTTGTCGTATGCTATAGTAGCATAAAAACTGAAAATTGGTAAAAACCGATAGAAGTTGGGTAGAAAGATCGGTCGATTCGATTTTTTTAGCGTTCAAAATTACCTTCGATATTATTTTTAGCGCCACTAAGTTATTCATAATGCCGTTATTTCTGTTAAAAGAATCGTATCTGAAAAAATCTGGGAACTAGATTCGAAAATAGTCTTTCATGAGAGTGTACAAATAGAACAAACATCATGAATTTTTGAAATAAAAACAGAATCTTTTGATGGCTTTCTGATATCTACAAAAGTTCATACCTAAACGCACATGCCAATAACTTTCAAAGGGAAAGTTTCATTAAATAAAACAGACTTAAAAGCTGAAACTATTCTCTAGTAGCGTACTGACACATTATTCCTGCATCAAGAAAAACTCGCCGGGAGATTGAGATCGTTATTTCTTTCCTTTTTATTGATTTAAAAATAAAGTAACAAATCTCTCGAGTAGTTGGAGTATCAAGTAGTCGAGTCTGAGCACTTCGAGTGTAACTCGGACTCGGTGCATGCCTAGTGCTTATTATCATAACCAGAGAGGAGTAAATTTCTTCCCGAACAGGTGTTCTATATTTATTTCCTTTGGTCTATCTTTTAGTGTACGATGACTCATCAGATTTTGTGACAGACTCATACAGACGATCGTCAGACTCATCTGCAAAAGTATGAACTTATTTATATAACCAATTGATTGGATGAAAGTATAAAGTTTAAACATAAATTGAACAAGATTTTATTTCCTGTTTCCATTTTTTTAGGATCTGTGGCACTTATAGCAATATCCACTATTCGTTAGTTTAAAAAAGTCACTTTTTACTCAATAGACTAGGGATGTCTAAACTTTTGAATCTCGAATATCTCTTTAATAATAATTGTAACCAGGGATCTCAAATTCGGTGACTCATAGGGGGCAGAACAAAGGACCGTCATGGTGATTCCTTTGCTCTGTTCCCATGAGTTATCGAATTTGAGATCCTTGATTGTAACCGAGCATAAAAAAATGAAAAGAAGGAGCGAAATTCGATTTAATCCTTGTGTGTTTAAACTCAAAACGTTCATCTAATGAATTCGTAACATAAAAAACGTGAAAAATCTGTAAATGATTGGCCTTTTTCTGCAACGATTTTTTCGTTTGACCACATACCACTTATTTTATAACTGTTTTCTTGTCTTCTCCACAAAAACAATGTCTACAACTTACATGCACTTATAACTGCTACCAATCCGACTACAGCATTGACATCGGGTTTGGGTGTTGCCGATGTCATATTCTCTATTTGTACTAAAGATATTCCGAAGAATAATAAAATAAGTGCAATCCATTGAATTAAACCCAGTTGACGACGTAACATAAATACCATAAAAAGGGCTGTGGTAAATATTTTCAATTGATAACTCACCTAAAAGATAAAAAATAAGACTAAATTGATACAATACTAGTTTCAAATAAATTTGAAATCATACTCATCGGCCCTGTCCACAGGTAACGCGATGACACATTTTCAGCATCAATATTTATTTTCTCACGTTTGTGGATAGGAGTAAAAGTAAATGTTGCATTATTTATTACATCCCAATGGCTTCTACTAGCAATGGGTTACTACTTATCATTCAAATACTACAGCATTTATACGGTCGGTAACGCGATGACTAAAAATGGAAGTTCTTTCCAGTAGCAGTTGAAGAGTTCTGATTTTCTCTAAATGTATATGACATTGTTGAGAGTGTCCAGTGGATGGTTTTTAACTATAACATAGGGCTTTTGAATATCCGATCGAAATTTTAATCAAGAGTTTGGTTGTTTGTCTACAGATCAAAGTTATGGTAACGCGATGACATCCTTGCATTGCATCTGATAAATTTTTTCAAGTATATACTGCAAAGAAAACTTATCTAAAGGATAAACTTAGCTCATTTATACTTGTACTTATAATGTGCGAAATAAACTTGAAGGAGTGTGTTATCGATGCAAATTTACAGATGACTGCAAATAAAAATCTACATGAGCGAATAGTACTAGTAATAAAATATCTGCTAGACGACTAAACTAGCAATCATAAGACGACATGCTTTCCTGCTTTAGGAAACTACGCTATACACCTCAACGAAAACAAAACACGCTATTTCTAAAGTTATAGTCTGTTCTTTATAAAGTGATATGAGCACTTTGCCGAATAACATTATCAAACTTTGATCATACATGGGGTACCGTTAGCCGGACAAGCCATCATACATAACTATGAACATACCTGAAACGTTGCTGCATCCAAATTTGATATAGCTACAAATAATAAATTATTTTGAAGTGTATACAATAACGATGGTATTCCTGTTTTGATTGTATCCTTTGGTTGTTTAACAATGTTCTTATAAATTGATTTCAAGCCACCAATTACATTTTTTTCCTCGTAAATAACTAGAAATATCGACAAAATTGTTTTTTGTATCTCTGAATTTAATACAGCTGTTGAATTAATAAAACGTGGTCCACGCGTTGTCCGAACATAACGTAATAATAGAATACTAACAACGTTTTGTAATGTCAACGATGCTAAACTAACATATTTCATGAATTGAATTGAAACAGAAACAACTAGAATACAAAATAAACAAATAAGCAAAAAGATCCTTTAAACAATATAAATAAGATCAAAACATTAGTTTTTGTGACCGAGGAAACTCTTTATTGGATTATTACAAATACCAGCATAATAAGAGACGATTACAGATCGTTCTCTCACAAATTTAATTAGTTCAATCTCTAGTGGACGTAATAAAACGTTGGTAGTTGACAACTCAAAAGGACGGGTTGAAAATGTCCAGAAATCAGCCTTTCCTCAAAATGTTTTTATTTCAACTTAGATCGATAGAGAATTCAATTTTATATAGCTTTTCGTGTTTTTCGGAACTTCGAAATGTATTTAGTTGCAAAAATAAATTATAGTAAATTATCAACCTTTTTTATCCTGGATTGCCATTAATAGTTTATTTTCGATATATTATAGATCTGCGAGAGTGTATCTATGTATTGAACAAAAGCAAAAAAAGGCCATAGAGATTATCATGCTATATAGAATGGAGAAGACAACCATACCATATTGAAAGAGAGAGTGAACAGGAGAAAAATAACGGATAAAACAAGAATGACAATGACTCACGTCTATAGAAGTTAAAATATAACTTGCCTTTTAATGTTTCGTATGTCATTTTTTACGGTTCATTGATTGCAATAAAGTTTCTCAGTGGTTGACTTGAAATCGCAGAGAAAAAAAAGTTTAAAAAAAACAAAAACATTGAGTTAAATGGTATTTCGTTTAAGTTGTTAAAAAATATTCCGATGATCGTAAACTTTTAATTCAATTATTTCTACATATCCTTGTAACTCTTTTCACGGACTATCCATTACACTAGGAAAGGTTTGTAATTAAAGTAAAAGAAGCGCAAAATTATTGATTATTGAAGTGCTGTTGAACTTATGCTGGAGATTTCACCATTATTCTAAACATTTGAATCAATTATTTATACACAGTCTTGTAGCTTTTTTTAACGAGTTATCGATTGCACTAAGAATGGTTTGTGATTGAAGCTTAAATGGTAGAAAAAAACGTGAAATACCGTGACAGATAGCGCTTAAAACCTAGATCCGAAACGGATTTTGGATAAAAAATAATGATTCTTTTTATTTTCAAGCTTTCATTTGCACATATTCTTGATCAGCTCGCCGGACTCTGTCGATCGGTATATTTGAAAAAATATTCCATTCGCATTTTCGATCGAAAATAAACTATTAATGGCAATCCAGCGTAAAAAAAGGTTGCTAATTTACTATAATTTATTTTTGCAACAAAATACATTTCGAAGCTCCGAAAAATCTGGAAAACCACATAAAATTGAATTATCTATGGATCTAAGTTGAAATAAAAACACTTTTGAGGAGAGACCGATTTCTCGACATTTTCAACCCCGTCCTTTATACCTGAGTAATGTCATAAGTCCTTGTGAGTGAGTATTTAAGTACTCAAACCTTGTTCCTGAATGCAAAATTAAATACTCATATAAATACTAAAAGACTCGTGCTAAAATGTTAAGTACATGTGACACTTTTATTCTTAAGTGTTCTCTGACGTGAATACTAACGTTTTATTACTTTCATCCAGGATAGGTAATTGTTTGATTACCAAAGCTTGAAAGTGTACTACAGTAACTAAATATGTATTTCAAACTCGAACATGCTGAAATACAGCTCATTTTCTAATTCTGGGTGATGTTAACTAGCAGTTAATAAAGCAAGTGTGCAATTCTAGGCGTAGAATTAAGTATCATACGAAATCATTTTTTGTGAAACACCTCCGAACATCCTAAAGGATTATCTAGAAATACAAATTTATACGACATTTTGCCAATTTCTTTTTCTACTTCATTTGTTTCGTTACGAGCGGTAGGACTGTACTATTCCATTTCTTGAAGTGTCTTATTTACCTAGTTAGTAACCGCATTTTGCGTTTACATTTGATGATCTGATATTTTGAAAATAAAGTGTTGATTTTATCCTCCCGATTTTCTCGCGTCGTTTTCATGTCGTACTATTGTGTTTTTTCTATTCATAGTTATTCGAAGAAAAACACTAATATAAATACAATGAAATATTTTTGTATTTTTCTAGTATTGATTATATTTTGTTTATATTTGCACAATAAATTTTGTAGTAATAACCGTAAACTCGATGGAATTACGGTATAAAGTTTAAAAAAAGTAAATAACTCTTAAATGATACAATTTTTAAACGTTCATAATAACTCTTAAACCTATCCATTTGCATAGTTCAACAAAATCTACAATTATCATTTGTTTCGGATTTTAGTCTTTCTCTCAAATATTTTGGACTATAGTCCATCGAATGAAACCGAATGCACGCTTAACTTGCTCTGTAATGATATATTCCTTCTGCAAGATGGCAGAGAGAGATTGTCGGTTCAAGTAATATCACTAAAGCTCACAGACTAGACACATACAACGATTAGAATGATTAGATAATAGATGAATACACATCTGATCATTGCTCCTGCATACATGAATTAGAGTAGAATGAGCAGCAAAAGTAATTTTTTTTTTTCATATTACAAAGCGCAGAAAATGATATTGATCTCCCACATGGGAAATTCTTGATACCGCCATATTATCTCACTCATTGCTCATGCTCATGCGAATAACCTTGGCTACAGAGCGGATCTTCCACTAGCATCTACTAGAGAGAAGATATACTTGTAGTGATCTTACAGATCCTCTTTTCCACAAGGAGACGTTCACAATCATGAAATAGAGTTTCAACACGTCATCACTCGTTTCCATGCGTTCGAATGGTACGGAAGTATCAAGATTTTACCATAAGTGTCGAATACTTAGTGAATCACGCAAAATATTCAGAATACTTTTTATTACGTGGGTTGTTTAAAAAGGCTGTATATCGTTTCCTATAAGTAAAACCAATAGGGTGCTCATATTAAAGACTAAAACGAAGATAAACTAACCTGGAAGTTGTTTGTTTAACGGAGATTCACATACTTGCTGTACAATATCACCGGTTTTTGCTGTTTCTGATGTTGTTTGCTCCTACAAGAAATAAGAGATTGCAATAGTTTGTTGATGATACTATTGTTTACACTTAAAAAGAAAACAATGCTGCTATTTGTATGAACAAATGAAAATGAAACATCTTAACTAATTTCATTCTCTCTTTATCATGAGGATACTTGTCTACGAAAGAGCAGCACATCAGTTTGTACTTTTGCTCGGGTTTTCTTTACAATTTTTTTCTGTTCCATGGGGAAATTCACCTACACTATGTGCCATTCTATTTCAGATCAAATTTGAGATAACAGAGTCGTAATTTAATAATGTATTAAATTGAATAAAAAATATAATGAGATGAGTCTAAAATTAATTCCATGATATATCTAAAAAAGGCTACAAAATTGTACAATGCATTATTACTGAAGAACGCCATTATAGGATGTGACAATAATCTTTTTGCTTTTCCACAAAACGAGTCAGATTTATATGCAATGATGCATAACGGATATTAAAATTAACTATATGGGTGAAAAAGTATTCTAGATACACTGAAGAGTTTAAAAGTCTCTTAATTATAAATATTTATAACTCACTTAAGTTTTAGTTGAAAATTTTTACTACCTATAAACAGGTAGAATTTAAAAAAGTGTAATAAAATGAATGTATTGTACGAAAAGAAAAGAACGAAATGTGTGCTAGTATGCATACCATTACTAGCAGACTATACTAATGGTTTTCATTCAACTTTTACATTATACATATGAAGCAGAAAAAGAAAAGAATCGCCGACCGAAATATAGACTTTTTATTTTTCCTTTTCATAAACAGCTGTGTACTAAACACATGATAGTTTCTTTTGAAAGTGGCAAATTCGTCATAAACGCATTCGATAGAAGATAAGATTGAAATAGTTCATTCCTAAACCAGAAAGAAATTGTGACTCAATTAGGAAACATTTTGATGACATTGTTCGTGCCGAAACAAGTTCAAATTTATTTTACATAAGCAAAGGCATCACAAAGAAAGTAAACGTTTAGTAATTTATAACATCTGATAAACAGAAGCCTTAGTGATACCTGTATAACTAAAAAGTATCGGACATGTGAATAGATTAAATATTGTTCGAAATATATAATTATGCTAAAGTGAATATTATGCTCCATCATATTTCTTATGAGTGTGTTGAAGTTACAAAAAATTCACAATTTTGGCTATAACTTTTAACGTCAGTTGTTTTCTGTTAACTTTTTGTCAAAAATCGTCAATTTTTACTTTTAAAAATACTTTTAAACTCTAGTGCTTAAATAATAGTATTCAGATACTTTAGTAAACAAAATGGCACTACTCATAAGACCTAGGGATCAGGCAAGAGCAGAATGCAACAACAACACAAAAAGAGTAATAGAAAAGAACAAAATAAACAAGACAACTAAGGTTAGAACCAGAAGTAGTAAAACAAGAACAAATTTTGAAAAAATAAAAAAAAATAAGCAAAAAAGAACAAATATAAACAATTCATAACTGACAGATGTTCCACTGGAAGGGATACCGACATAAAGCTGTTTTGAAAGACGTTAAAGAAAAAAGACAGATGACTCTGGGAGATTATTCCAGTCAGCAATAGTTGAATAATAATAATAGCTGTACTGGTTCTCTCGCTCACACGTGTTCAACAAACAGATCGATGGGTTAGTTTTCGCAGGCAGAACATACGGAAAGGAGATATAGTCTAAATGCTCAAAAGTAAAGTGAAAAAAAAAATTCAGATATACTTTTCTTAGCGTGGAAAACAGATGAAAATTCATTATTTAAAGTGGAAACTCATTTTGCTCTCGCTTGTCCCACTAATCATTAAAAATACTGACAACAATAATACTACGGTAAAATGCAGAGTTTACATGTTTGAAAAATATGTTAAGTTAAAAACTAATTTTTACTTGTCAACTATTTCTGACTAAAGGTATGAACAGTTTACACTTTTATCGAGTTAAGTTCAACACTTTTCATCTCGTATGAATTTTTGAAATACGCTCAGCATATTTAAACAAAAGACATGATTGGCTGCAGAATAATTCAGTTTAAACAAAGGACATGGCCTCTTTCAAAATCTGAATTCATGATTTTGATAGGGAATAAGTAAATACTATGAAAAGAAGGTCAATATAAGATACAATGAATTAGGCTTAGTATTATATAATGTTGTTTATTCAAAATGTGGACGGAGATCACTTAACTTATATTAGACTAATATATTATTCTGGCAATTGACACGGTCTTTTGGTGTTGCTGTCGATCACCACAGGCTTCAAGATTAAATAATGGTTGCTGCTGTTTGAAAGACCACTCCAACTCGATAATACTACGATCGAACGGCGGGGCTCCGATGGTGACGCGGGATGAATGAACCATATTCACATCCTGATGAGGTCGCCACATCGCGATACTATTTTCTTGCCTTTTGTCTATACAATACACATACCCACACGGCCGACTTTCAAGCCATTTGACGGCCAACATACAGCGTCCTCATCAGGATGTGAATATGGCTCATAGATAATAAATAATCGGTCAACTCATTTGGGGACAAGTGCGGCAAAACCATCTCAGTCTTTGCCGTTAGATCGTGACCAGAAAATGTTATAATTAGCAGATATATCGATTGATGATATCCCTGGTCGAGACTCCCGGCAAAACTCCCACGAGACTCCTGTCACGGGGTCCTGCGGGATCCTGGAGGATCCTGTAGGAGTCAGGTGGGACTTTCAAGGGGTTTCTCAGCACAGTGGGCATTTCCTCATAGAGCAGGCGGCATTTTTTGCCGACATAGTTTTTTTGAATCCAAAAGCACTTTTTTATAGGTTTTCGCATACGGTATTTCCAGCAGTGTGGCAAAGGTGAGTCGTG